TAATGCTTCTGTCCATCACCCACAGCACGGGGGACCTGTGGCATTGCAGTCACGTTCCCTCCCTCTGGCAATAACTGGGAAAGTGCCCCTGATTTGGGGCACAGGTGATGCCAGCAATGCCCTCCCATTGGGGTCTGCATTTAAACCTGGGCAGGACAGAAATGGGCAGGACTGGTTAACTGCTAAACTGAGAGTATTTTAGTAAATTAGAGTCATTCCTGTGGAACTGGCAAGCTTTGGTCTGCTGTGTATCACAACGTGCTCCCCAAAATGGATGCCCTGGTTTGAAGAGCACTGAGGAGCAACCTCTAAGCAAGCAGAGAGGAGGCAGGTCCCAGGGGCAGCACTGGCCAAAGAGCCCTCTGGGGGCCTTGGGAAATATGGATTGCAAAATAAACAAATAACTGCTGAGTGATTACATTAATATTGCTGTAGGACTATCCCTCAGGCTTTATTAGCAGCTCCTTAATTGGGGCCTGCCTGAACTAATTAGTTCAAAGCAGCAGCCAGGGGCCAGACCAGATTGAAAAGGGGCTATACCTAATTCATTCCCTAATGGGTGGTCCCATCCTCTCCTGTGGCTCTGAAAAATTTAAGCAGTAGCTCAGCATCTTCTTCAGTGACCTGAGGATTACTAATTTAAAGGTACCACTATTTTAATAATGTGCTCTTTGCAGGATTGTACCACAGAGTGAAAGCCAAGCTCTAATAACCTGCTCTGCTTGCAGGCAGGTGCTGGATGCCCTCATGGTCACAGATCTAGAGACAAGGTAAGAAGACAACCTGACTGGAGCTTAAACTGATGATTTGGTAAGTTATTTAAACTTCTGTGTTTTGCAGGAGTAAATAGCCGTTGCTGAGGATCCATCCATGCACTCCATAGAGGTGATTACTCTGTGGCCTCTGTCACCAATACTGCTTTGAGACCAGCCAGGTTCAGGTAAACATGCTGGACATGGTGCTCCTACACTGGAAGTCTCTGATGAATGCTGTGTACTTCAGCCAACCCGTGGTTCTCCTAGGCCATAACCTCACTCGCCCCTCTCCTACCAGCCCTTCCCCAAACTGCTGCCTCCTCTGCCCCGCTCTCTGCACTGCTCACAAATTCATCCCCCTCCCCGGGGCTCTGTGGCAGTGCCAAGTACCCCCTCTCCTGCCAGGGGACTGGTTTGCTGTGTAATCAAAGAAAGCAGATGGCATTTTACCAGGTCAACAAGCCCTGGAAGGGCTTTAATTAAGAAACTAATGGGTTAGATCAAATTGAAGAGTGGCTTCAATGTGGTAAATTATTTAGGAGTAATAGATTCTCTATCTGGTGGCATATTTATAAACTTGCAGCCTACACTCATGGTGTTGAGACTAAATAAATGCCGAGAGTAAAATACAGCTTCAGACTTTATGAGCAAGCTGGGGTGTTGCAGGGTACGAGGTAATCCAGGCTCAAGCTTGAAGAGGACTCTTTGATTTCTTACAAGAAATTAAGGTTTTTAGTCAGACCCTGGATATCCAGAGGAAGTTACAGTGATGAGTTACTTCCTTTAATTCCTTTCTGCTGGTGATTTATTTCCTGACAGCACACAGCTGCCTGTCCTCTCAACCAGCATCTCCTTAGCAAGCTGAGTGCTGACCTTCTGCCTCCCATTCCACCTAAAACTCTCAAATCCTCTGAATGTGTCAGAATATGTGCCATGAGAAGGAGCAGGAACTTATTCTCATCTACAGAGTTTAATGCTCTGGTGCATTTGCTGGAGATCTCATGGTGCTGGGGGGATTTATCTGCCAATTACTTCTCAAGAAATAACAAAGGGTCATGCAGTACTTGGCAGATAAGAGCAGAAATGGGGAGAAGAGAACTGTTTTTTAATTGAATCCCAAGTACATTGAACAAAAAATTTCAGAACCACCAATTAGCTGTTGGCCTGGGGCTGAAATTTAATTGAGAGAATAGTGCTCTTAGGATGTCTCTGTCTGGGGGAAAAAGCATAAAGGGGAACAGTGAAGACTGGAAATGTGATGGGGAGGTGGAAAAGATCCTGCTGGAGATGCTTCAGAGTTGAGCTGCTACTTGGGTTTGCAGAGATCAAAGCTGTCTGTCAAACTGCATATCCCATGTCTGAGAAATGCCTTAGGTCAGTATGCAGGTGGGTGTCCAAGCTCGGACAGTAAATCCTCTTCCCACATGGCCTCAGGGCAAAGCTGGCTTTCCTGCTGCTCTCTGCACCTGCAGCCGCAGGGTGAAGGGCTGGGGATGAGGGACAGCCCGTCCCTGAGGAGATGCTGCCTGTGCTTGATGCCCCGGGGAGGCACCATCCTCCATAGCCCCCCAGCCCCACAGCACCGAGGGCAGCTGGGCTCTGCTCTGCTGCCATGACCTCGTTACTGTACCAAAGCAAACAGCACAAGGGTGCGGAGTCCCAGCCCCAGCTCTTCCTCCTCTCCAACCCCACTGTGCTTACAGGGTGTTACCAATTTACTGCATTGCTCAGAAAGGTTGATTTGCTCCTCTCTTCCTTGCCATCCCCAGTCCCCTTATAGCTGTACAGACTAGTTGGCTGGAGAGCAGGGAGGGAAGGAGGAGAGGAGAGGATGAGATGCTGCTCGCTCTGTGTCTCTGTCTGTCAGGGGTGGCTATGGCATGTGTGCACCCAAAGACACCTGTGAGCTCAGGGCCCTGTGCCCCAGGGAGCTGCAAGCCACAGCTGGCTGTGAAGATGAACAAAATTAATTCCTGTGCCGTCTAGACAGGACATGGATTTGCTTAAGGGGAAGAAGCTGTTATGTTTTGAGGAGATAACTCTGATGCACTGGAAGGACTCATTAGCACAAGAGCCCAGCTTAGCTCTGGGCTATGCAATAAGTTGTTCCTCTTAGCCTCAACCCAGCCCATGTAAGAGCATCCAAAGGTAAGAGTTGACACATCCAAACCTCAGCCCTGGATTTTGCCCTGGATTTTGCCACATTCAGGGAACCAGCAGCCAGCCCAGGGCTTCCCTTCTTCCTCCTACACCTTCTTTACCTGTGTGTTACTTCAAGCCACCCTGGTCCTTACTGCTCCGTTTTGTCTGCAGATGCTTTTATCAATGGCTTGTCCTGAGCTGCTAAGGAAAAATCTGTTCTAAGGGGTGGGGGGGTGGAATCTGTACTAGAGAAAAGATTGTCACAAGCAAATTGTTTCTTTTGCTAAGTGGAACAATTTTCTCACATTGTAGCAAAATCACTTCCATTTTCTTCAAGAAGCAAATCCCAAATCTCTGTGCGGAACTTCCTTAGCAACAATAAAGAGGAACTTTGTTACTAAATTCCCAATATACACAAAAGAGCACAAAAATGGCAAGAATCCTTAAATTCCAAACGCACACTGTTTCACATAATTGAAAAAAAAACAATGTTCTCTTTCCTCATCCTGCAGTTATTTTGGGAGCAAAGTAGATAGTTTAATAACTCACAATATAATAATCATACATGCAACACCACCCTACACCAAAATGAAATCGATACTGGACAGTTCCCAACACATTGGTGCGAGATGAAGTCTTGCTCTGACTCACCCAGGGAAGTGATTTCCCATAGACACAGAATGGTTACTTAATGTCTTGTGCTCTTAAAAATATCACACAGATATTTTCCAAAGTGTATGCAAAATTGTAAGATCATTTAAACACTATAGTTTGGTGAAAAACAGTGTTGAAGAGTGAGGCTGAATTGGCTGTTCAAAGAATTCCTTACAGTCACTTCAGGGTTACTGGTGGCTGACACTTGGTTTATTTGGCAAGAGCCTTAGCATTTGGCTCATGTGTAATCTTCTAAATTTTATTCCTAGTCCAGATAGTCTCTTGCAAGTCTGGGGCAAGTGTCCTTGGGCTGGTTTCTTGGATGCCTCAGGTTATGAATATTCTCTTTGCTCACAAGATGATAGCAGCAATGAGCTTTGTTTATTGTCTTATAGTTAGTGTGTCACTTGTCACAAAACACTGGATGGACTTTCACAAATTATTTTCAAGAAATAAGAGACTTGCTTCATCTGCCATTGAAAAGCAAATGTAGCTGGGACAGAGAGCAACACTGCTTGACAGTACGCAGCTACACCACACCAGGGGCTTACAGGACAAGGCTACAGTATCCAGCTGGAGCAACTAGAGGAATTTGGACAGAAAAGGTAAAATTCTACAAAAGAAGCTTAGACCACAATTGATGGAAGTATGACTATTACCTTAAGGAACACTCATTACTAGTTTGTTCATTTTTTCTGTAACAAATCCAGCTGGTCTGGACCTTGGGTTTATGTGCTACCAGCACAGAAATATTTCCAGAGGCATGGGGTGATGTTCATGACACCCAACTTTGGTTATTCCTAACATAGGCCTCCCCACCTGAGAGAGTCCCTTTACAGTCAATGGACAGAAACAGTCACATCTCGGGAGGCATTCATCTCCTCCTGAGGTATGCATCTTCCTCAGGGGACTGTGCTGAGATGAGAGGAGCCTCTTCCTGGAAGTGCCTAATTGGCCCCATTAACTCTAAAACACCTCTAGAAGAGCAGCTCATGTAGGGTGTTTGTGTTACAGGCATGCAAATTCAAGTAGGTGAATCTCACTCAGCCTATAAGAAAACTGGTCGAGCAGAAAGAAGTTGTGGTTGGGGTTTTTTTTTTTCTTTCCTTGAATGCCCTCCTCTTCCTGGATTTCCTTTCAGTGCTCTGGCACAACTCAACAAACAGTTGCACTTGCACGTAACACAGAATTGCATTGCACAGCTATATTTAACTATGGATTCTTTAAAAATGCTAAACATTGACATGTGCCTAACACTTCAGCAAACAAGAATAAATTAGCATTAAGGAAAAGCAAATTAATTTTCCTCTAAGAATCTGTTTTGTTAAATGCCCTGGAGAGGTATTTAAGCTTGCTGCAATGCCAAAGCAATTTCTCTTGGCACTTTCCCAACACAGTGCATACAGCCACATAGCTCCCACTGCCTGCGTTGTTTCAGGGTCCCAGGATCTATTTGGCAGGCTTGTTCTTCTTTGCAGGTGCAGGGAGACTGTTCAGATCTTCTTGTTTTGTGACGTTGTGATTGGAGCTGTCATGAGAATAGTCCTTCATAACACTGTAGTACACTGGGGCAGTGTACGGTGCGGGGTTCTCAGCACTCTTCTCTTCGCATTTGCATAACTTCCTAAAGGCAGCCCTGAATTTCTGTGACATGAGGTTGTAGATGATGGGGTTGATGGCACTGTTCAGGTAGATGCACATGCGGCAGAAGAGAAGGAACCAGATGTTCAGGTATGGAGGGTCCATAAAGGAATTCACCACTACCAGCGTGCGATAAGGCATCCACAGAAGGGCGAAGAGGACCACCACAACAGCCAGCATTTTGGTCACCTTGCCAGTGGGGATATGCAAAAAAAGAAATAGTAAGATGATGCTAAATCTTCAGCAGAGCTTTCCCACCTGGAGAAATGTGGTAGACAACTAATTCAGTCTACATGTTGCTTGTATCTCTCTTTAAGCATTTAAAATAGGCACACAAACCATGGGGCTATTCCTCTCTGAATGCATTTTGTTCATGAAACAATCTTGCATAAATAAATCCCTTAGATGACACATTTTCACCTACTGTTGAAGAACCTTTAAAGCTCTTTAGGACAACCATCCACCAGCCTGGAAATGGGCTGGGATAATCATGAGAATTTCTCTACCACAAAGCAAATCTGAAAATTGCACATAACAATAAATCAATGGGGAAACTAACTTGTGCAAAAGTGGGGTGCTAACTTTTGGGGGTGCCATGGGATATACCTCAACTCCCTGCCTAGGATCTTCTGCTTTCCTATGCCAGCTATGCTGTTCCCAGGGATAGGGTCCTGATACAGAGCAGCACTGAGAGCAGAGGAGACTGCCTGGAGTCTTACACAAATTCCTACTTGTGCTGATATGGGAGTTACTTAGCTAATTGGTATGGGTTATTTTAATTTGGAGCATGCTAGGGAAGTACTACATTAGCATATTAGGAACAAGAAGATACTGAGAATTCAGAAGTGAGCAGTAATTGCCCTCAGCTTGAGTCAAGCTTGTTTAAGAAAATGGGGGTTTTGTACTGAAACTGCAGTAATTCTAATAATTTTGACAGCTATTTCTGGTAGGTGACAATCATCCTCCAGCAAATACTTACAGAATACACATGTCCCCAAGGAGGAAAGTATGAGTAAACACTGATGCCACTTGCATATTAAGGCAGTGGCGTTTCAAACGTCAGAAAGGGAGTTGTGCAATGACTCCAGTTCTCGATATGGAAATAAGCACTTAGATCATGTTCACAGTCTCTCAGCTTTTCTTAGAGTGCTTTTTTTACTTAGTCACAAGCAACTATGCCTTCTTGTAATGCTTTGAGTAGAAATTGGGGGTGATTGGTAGTGGCAACAGAACTTCCCCTACAAGAAAGGGACTATTGTCAAGCTGAGGCCAAAATAGAAGTGTTTTGCTGTGTGTGATTTAATGGGAATGTAAGGACACTTCCCAGAGTAAGATCTTGCAGTGATATGGTGAGTGCTGAGGCTGTTGCTAAGTGCAGCATGTTTGTTGTTGAAATTTGTTGCCTTTTGGGAAAGAGATGAGAGATTGTACAGGATGTGTCAGTAAAAGGTAGCTTCAGAGCTTTTCAATGCCTCTTACAAGGACTGACTGGATGCAGAAGAGTGAGAGCCATCTCACAAGCTTTTGATTTCAAGCCACCCTATCTAGCGTGCAACTGCTAGGGTGATAATCTGGTTTGTAGAAATGCTGCTGAACAGATAGGCTGGGAGTGGACAGCAGCAGCCTGGCACACAGTTGACCATGGTCAAAATCTTTGTGTACCAGTACGGTTGTAGCTGCTCCCTCCCGCTGAGGCTGGCAGGGCGATCCAGGCTCAACCACTCCTTGCCAAGGGAAGGAGCATCCTGACAGCAGTGGTGAGACTGTAGTGCTGTGGTCTGCACTGCAAGACCTGGGAACAGAGAGCTCCCAATACCAGATCAGCCCAGAAAAGCAGATTTTGCTTCAACACTGTATGCCACGAGCAGTGCATGTGCATGGGACCTGCATTTTCTACTTCTTTATGTATCATTATAACAAATAGACACATCAGCAATGGAGCATTCAGCCACACTGCTGCCTTCCACAGACCCGCTTCTCAGGTTTGCAGATAGAATTGGTTTTGCCATATTTTTGATGCATCTGAGGTTTATTTCCCAAGAACCTGAATGAAGTTGATCTGAACAAAACTGTGCTAATAGCTGAACCCTACAGAAAAATGCAACCAACTCCTCAGCTTAAGAGATCCTAAGTACAATTTTAGTGAGAATTTAATTCTCCTCTACTAAGCAGTTTATTCCTCCTGAGAGATGAGGGCAGGCTCTGTGCTTTTCCATCCCATGCAGTGACTGAACACATCCCAGTCCTGCCTGGAAGGGTCCATGTTAAAGGGCTGTCTTGGGAGTAAGGTTGGTGGGAGTATTTCCATCAACTTCAGCAGTCCTAGGAAAGTGAAATACCACACCTCTGCAGGTCCTCACTGAGACACAGACTGTCCTCACTCAGCGGTTGTCTCAGTTCTCGAGATGCAAATTTACCTCCCGCAGGGCTGGGGAGAATAAATCCCTGAGTTTTTATACACTTAGCTCTGCTCTCTGGCAGGTGTCCCTTCCAGCCAGGAGGTTTCTGTAAGGCCGAAATGTCTCCTTTAAAGCTAACAGATTAATACTGCTCACATGCTTTCTCCTGAGACTGAAACATCTTTGACTTTTTGACTGTTGTAACTTTCTGCCTTGTTTTGCTGTTTGGAACCTGCGACGCTTGTGAAGAGTGATCTGAACTCTGCACCCGAGTGACACCAGGGGGAGCATATCCTAATAAGGCTGAAAAGTAAGCTCATTCCTGTCCTTTCTGAGAACAAAAGAAACGTAGTCTGGAAAAGAACCAGTGATTCATCTGCTTTTTAGCCATAACTGTCCCTGCTCTTGGGTGGTTGTTACGGAAATGCTGGCGGTGCCAGCGAGCAGTCACCCAGCTCCCACCTGAGCAAGCTCCTGACACCTCCCTCCAGACCGCAGAAGACCACAAAGTGCTGTCATCCAAAAAGCGCTTCCAGCTACGCATCCTACAGCCCTGAGAAAAAGCTATCTGTGTCCTGGGAGGGGAAACCAGCTGGAAACAGCACCATGAGGATTTACTATCTCCCTTTCACTAAATGCCTTCAGTGCTCCCCAAGGACGCTGCATCCAGACCACAGGCTGGGACAGACAGCCCTGCCCTGAACTTGCTGTAAGATTGAAATTTGCCTTTTAAAGCCAACTGTCTGTACGGCCCGTGTTCTCCTGGATGCGACCTTAGCAAAGTTGTGTCAACACAGAATGTCTTCTCTGGATAAAACCTGATGGTCTATCCCAAACTCACTCTCAGTTCTGCCCTGTGGGGAAAGAAATCTCCAGCATTGTCTGCATGCATGGCTGAAACCTGTCTCTGTGCCTTTCCTCACTCTGCCTTGCTGAGGTGAGTAACTATAGCACACTGGAGGTGCTCTGAACTTACTTCTGGTGTTTATGTGAAAAATGAACATAATCAGCACTGTGGAGAGTTTGGGACATTTATCCCTAACTGGACTAGTCCTGAATTATGACCCCCAAAAACCAGCTGCACCCAAAAAAGCCAAGGCTTTGCTGTAGCCTCAAAGCATTCCTCAGGGAAGCACCAGCTCAGGGACAACAATTTTTCTGACAACTGTTTTGCAACAACTCTGTTGTGCATAGTGTGTGCACACAACAGCTGTAAAGGAGTTATGGGTAGAAGCAAGACAAGGGTTCATAGACAGCAGGGGATGTTTTACTAGAACTGTTGATATTTAGCTGAAAACCACTTTTGAGAATGTAAGCCAATGTTGTTGCTGGATGGCCGAGGATATCTGCTGTACAGACCCCTGCCTACATCCTGGGTCCCTATGCCAAAGCTCAGGGGCAGCTCATCTTCCATCTCCGTGGGCCAAGCCCGGTGTAACTCCTAGAGCAAACCTACTGAGAGCATCCTCCTCGCTCTGTACAAGATGATCGGCATCTTGCATCCCTGCACAGCCCTTCCAACACATCCTCTCTCGCAGTGCTGTGTCCAGCCTCTGCCCCTGTCCTGGAGGCCACAGACGCTTCTCCCCAGCCAGTGTCACCCCTCCTTGTCCAGGCACCATTGTCCTGAGCTGCAGCATCCCTTTTTTAGGAATCCCACTCCCTCTAGTGGTCCCTCTCCGGCAGGTGAAATACGTGCTTGGAGGTGGCTGGTGTTTGTATCTGTGGCCCTTTCTTCTATAGGTGACAAATACAGCAAAACTCATGCCTTGCGTTGTCCTGTTCTGGACTTATGTGTTTTAGAGGCACCAGTGAGGGAACAGCAGCATCTTCATATTCTGAAAAGCAAGCAGTGCAGCTAAGGTATTTCAGGAGGTAATGACAATCTCGAGAAAACTGCTGGTGTAACAGGAAAGAGAGCACAAGATGTTTCCAGGAGCTGGAGTGCCCACCACCCAGCCCCATCAGGACTAACGGCCCCAGCCACTTGTCCTACTGATGCTGGAGCACGCTGTGTGCAGCACGGCCACGCCACGGCACAGTGCTGTGCAGGGAGCGGCACAGCCCCTGCAGCGGCTTCTTTGGAAGGAGAGATCCATTGACCTGCACTTTCAGGTACTGCCTCACAGTATCTAGAGACCTCGCTGCAGAACACCCTGCCTGAGGCTCCCCCAGCCAGTGACCCTGGGAGAGCGGGCAAGTACTTCTGCAGAAGTCAGGACTTGCTTTAAACCTTTCTGTGCTGGAGCAAAAGGGGGAAAAAGCTGAATTGGAAAGACTAGATGTTCATGAAGAAATACATGTTCTCTGGGCTGTTCGCTTCCCCTCCGCGACTCTGAATTGTCTCTCCTGGGGAATGGAGGTTCCTGTGCAAGTCAGGCAATGAGATACTGAGCTGGAAACATGAGGACTTTAGGACAGGCTAAAGCCTATTTCAGGCTGTCTGGAAATCACAACAGAACTGATGATTTCAGTGATTTAAGCCAGACTCCAAGATTCAGCCCTTTCCTTTAAAATAGCCCATGTCTCTGCCTATGCAAAGTTTGAAACTGGAATGGGATGGTCTCCTGCAAATGGCCAGCTAGGAGGCAACAGAGTCCTATGTCCAGATGCTGTCCCATCCAAGGAGATGGGGCAAGAAACAGTCATTGTCCATGTGGACAGAGAAAGAGGAGGAATGAGGGCAGGAGGTGGAAGGAGAAGGAGCTGGGGACCAAGCAGGCAGCGGAATGACAGAGGAGTCACCGAGAGGGAAGACGCACCACTGTGACACCAAGACGCCTTCCCCAGCTGCAGGGTCTGAGGGGCTGCAGCCAGGGGCTCACAGGGCAGGGGGTCATGCCAGCTCTCCCCTCCCTGTTGCCCCCTAACTCCAAGGTCACCTGCCCAGGACCCTGCCCGGGAGGCGAGTCCTGCTGGCATAAGGTGACCCAGCACTCCCCTCCTCAGGGAGGCAGTCGGTAATTAATTACCCAGCAAAGACCCCTGCACTCCTGCCTCTCCCAAGTGATGCTGGAGCTCTGTCCTGCTCCCCCAAGCTCAGCCAAAGCAGGGGGACCCCATCTGTGGCTGCCAGACCCCAGCCGGGCTTGGGGGGGACCCTCCATGCAGCAAACCAACCTACCCAGCTCCCCCTACAAAGGGAATCAAAATACTAGGGTACCCCATCCCCTGCCAGAATGCCCCTCAAAACACCGAGCCCCTGACAGCACTGCCTGCAGCCTGGCATGCCCAGCCCAGCGGGGAGCCCCTACCTGCTTGCGGGAGCTCAGGGCCCCCTTGTTGCCCCGACAGGAGAGCTTGAGGGAGGCGCCCTGGTGTGTGGAGCCCAGGCAGGAGCGCAGGCAGGAGCGCGGCGGGGTGGCGGGCAGGGGGCTCATGAAGAGGATGCGGGCAATGAGGCCGTAGAGGACAGTTGCCAGCCCCAACGGAATGGCATAGAAGACAGCAAAATCCAAGAAGTAAATGGGCATGTAAAGGCTTCTGGAGACCCGGTAGCCACAGCTGACCTGTGCCCCATCCGAGAAGGTGACCTGGGTCGTGTCCACCAGGAAGAACCACATGAGGCAATAGAGGGAGGTGAAGAGCCACAGCGAGGAGATGATGCGCTTGGCGCGGGACACAGTGCACAGGAGCTGCACTTTGATGGCGTGGCAGATCGCAATATAACGCTCCACCGTGAAGGCGGTGATGGACCAGGCGGAGATGTTGATGCCCAAGTACTGCAAATAGGTGATGCAGAGGCAGCCGGCGTAAAAAAAAAGCCCCCACTCCCGAGATGTTGGGCAGCCCGGCCGCCAGCAGCACGATGAGGTCGGCCACTGCCAGGCTCACCAGGTAGCAGTTGGTGGGGGTCACCATGTGCTTGGTGCGCAGCACCACCAGCACCACCATCACGTTGCCCGCGATGCCCACCCCGCAGATGAGCAGCACCAGCAGGATGGTGACCACCTGCAGCTCCAGGGGC